TAAATTTGCAGTCAGTCTTCATAACTCAAACTTTTGTAAATTTACTGATAAACAGATGTTTCAACTCTACATCAAGTGACCTTGGCCTTTGACTTTCCGAATTCTCTCTGATGTCCTAAGGAAACTATTAAAGCTGGTCATTTTGTGACCTAGCTCTCTTCTGCAGCGATACTTCACACAAATACAAAGGACCATAATATCTTGGACAAGTTCGAGTTTAAGGGTTGTCGAGTTTAGGTCAAGGTCACTGTTACTATTTTTAGAAAATCCTTGTCAGCACTCTAGCGGCTTTATTCCAGAGGGATTTTGATCAAAGTTCACACATTAACAAAGGACAATAATATCTCGGACAAGTTCTAGTTTCAGGGTTGTCAATCATTTTATTTTATATAATTCCTCTGTCATAATACTAACATTACAATTTCTTTTATTATTATTACAATAAAATCAATTGCATGCTAATTGTATATTTTTCATTTTCCCAAATTACCACCAAAGGGCACCATTTTTAGGTCACCTGAGCTTTGCTCAAGTGACCTATTCCAATCACTTAAAATTTCCGTCCGTCGTCCGTCGTGCGCCGTGCGTCGTGCGTACACTTTTTACATTATCAACTTCTTCTCAAGAACCAGTGGATGGAATTTTTTCAAACTTGGTCAGAATCATCCTTGGTAGGTGAGGCTACCAAATTGTAAAATTGGGATTCCTACCTCAACCCTAGGGGCCAGGGCGGGGCCCCAAAGGGAAAATTAACCAATATTTCAAAAATCTTCTTCTCCAGATTCAGAGGTATTACAGTCATTTTCTCTGTATAGATGGAAAGATCATCAGGGGCTTTATTTAAATTGTAAATTTCAGGACCCCCGAGCTATCCGTTCTCCCTTGGAGAGGGGTAAAGTTTACTATACTTTATATAGGGAAACAGCACTTTTGGGTATATTTTGACAATTTTCTGTTGGAAATTATTTTTACTTGGTGAGAATTATCCTTGGAGGAAGATGGTTTTGGATTGTAAAATTGGGATCCCTACCCCAACCCTAGGGGCCAGGGCGGGGCCCAAAAGGGAAAATTAGCCAATATTTCAAAAATCTTCTTCTCCAGACTCAGAGGCATTACAGTCATTTTCTCTGCATGGATGGAAAGATCATCAGGGGCTTTATTTAAATTGTAAATTTCAGGACCCCCGAGCTATCCGTTCTCCCTTGGGGAGGGGGTAAAGTTTACTATACTTTATATAGGAAAACAACACTTTTGGGTATATTTTGACAATTTTCTGTTGGAAAGTATTTTTACTTGGTCAGAATCATCTTTGGTGGATGACGGTTTTAAATTGTAAACTTGGAATTCCTGCCCCATCCCCAGGGGTTAGAGCGGGGCCCCAAAGGGGACATTTACAAATATTTTAAAATTCTTATCCTTTGATGACATGACAAGTATTGTATTTCACTTAGTTTACATGCTGATTTCCACATCACATCTAAACAATAAAATAAAGCTACCAGTACCTATGATATAACTCAGGTGACTGCTAAGGCCCTTGGGCCTCTTGTTATAAATCATTACAGTGTAATAGCTAGCGGGGTTCGGTACTGGGGACATGTATGCTTGTA